ATTTTACTGGATGCACATTTCCCTCCAGCCATAAGCCACAGACACATTTTAATAGCTGGATGAGGTATACTACCAAATGAGAATCACTCGTGCAGCGTTCTCAGAGATAAACCACCAAGGCCAAAAATCCACTTGGATGGAGGACAGTGATTGGTTATTAATGAGAGCGGCTCTGTTGTAAGCTAAGTGCACTCGTACATTCAGAGTGTGATGGATACAGCATGTTGTGATCGTAAATTACCAGATACGCAAACAGCCACTAGAAGAATCAGCACATTGACCATGTAAACACCTCCAGTAAAGCACACTGCTACATCAGCTGGGAGCTTGTTCTGTGGTTTGTCTTTTTACCAGACTGAAACTGTGCACGTTGACAACTTGACTGAAACTGTGTTGTTAGTGGGTAAATGTCTTCAGCCACTGTCAGGGCGAAGCAGTGTGAGGGGAGACAAAGGAAGAGCCAGTCCTTGAAGAATTTGTACTATTACTATTACTATTTTGACTTCAGATTTTCAAGAAATGTTTGTCAATATGTTAATTAATATAGAATCAGTTGAAGTCCTAACTACAAACTAATTTAGCCATGGTTTAATCCAATTTAAGATTTTGTTTAGTCCTTGTCTGGACTTGGTTTATTCCAGTTTTAGCCCTAGATTGCATCTGGTGGTACTCACCAAATATTAATTTCGCTGGTACTTGATGTGAAATGTTTGAGAACCACTGTGTGATCTATTGCATACTATCCACTATTCAGTAGGCTCTGCATTTGGCTTCCCGCTATCCAGACACTTCCCGAGGCGGCATATAAAGAGGCTAATTTTACTCAACAACAGAATAAATGATTACTCAGAGGAAACTGTTTTCTGAATCTGAGATGTAAGACTGGGCGATATGACAAAGAAACGTTCTGTGATGCCGCTCACTCAGTCTTTTTTTTTAAACAAATAAAAACTGCTACCAATATTATTTAATGGATGTAAACAGACTTGTGTTAATTGCTATTTGACACAAAAACTGTAATATTTTCTGAACTCGACTGTACACCACACACTTTTCCTTACAGGGGATGGCATGTGGACCTCTCGCTTGAAAATGTGTTGCTTTGCTCCTAGTTTAAACCCGTCTTTCAGCACATTATTGTAGGTGTTAAACAGTCTCTAATTGCAGCGTATATTATCACAGCTTGCTATAAATAGATCAGAATACATTAAAAGCCTTAGGTGAAACACTGAGGGAGAAATGTAAATGATCATTGTAGCAGCTTCTTGGGTCAGAGAGGTCGTCATCCTCCGCTAAACAACAACAAGTCTCTTCCGTGGGGCATTCTTTAGAGTCAAATTGGCCCTATCTCATCTCCTCTTCTCATATCGTCTTTGCACCCGGCCTGTGGGAAGAACAGCTCAGTACAGTAGATGTCACTGAGTCATTCAACAGCACTGTAGTCTTACAAAAGGCCCAGATGGGGCAAGCTTCGCAAGCTGCATTGTGGTTTTAAAGATTAGCATTAGTTTGCAATTCATAGCCTAATAATTTGAATAGATAGTGTTCTAATTTTGCTGGCCTAACTCTAATTACATTAAACAACAAATATGTGATTACAATATGGATTAACTGAACTGCTGCCTTTGAAGCATCAGCAATATAAATCCGCTGCCTAGCATGCCGTAAAAACAACAAGATTTTCAGCCAGATGCCCTTGCAGTCATGTACATATTTAAATTGATCATTTTATGTCAAATGTATTACTTTAATTCATAATTTAACGGTATACAAGGTGCTGCAATAATGAATAGTTTATAACACCATGTTGTACAGTTTACACATTTGATTGACAGCTGTTCTATTGGCTCTAATGTGTTTCACTCACATAACAATACAAATTTAAATCAAAACCCTTAGGGCACACATTCTTCATTCTTAGATTTGAAATGCACAGGACTGGAACAACAAACTAGGTCTTAATTCAGTGGGAAAATACCACTTGTGTCGAGTAGCAGCAAACATTTTTTCACACAAGATGAAGGCACTCAAGCACAACCAGAGGGGCGCAGAGAAATGCCAGGCCAAGGGTGACAGCAGCAGGTTTTTTACACTTCATAAACATCAAGGAAAGTGGGCTAGCTCCAGTGCCCCAAAGTATCTGAGTGGAATAATGATGGATGATAAGCATGTCAGAAAATCTATCTTATTCTGTGTGACAGACCGGTCTAGCCACCACGATTCAGCTAAAAGGTGCAGCCAGCATATCCAGCAGCAGTAAGAGGATCCCCGAAGGCTGTTATGGCATCAGGGAGAGCTGACAGGGACATCAGCCGGCTCCCTGTACATATTGGTGCCCTCTGTCAAATGACCTCAGTCTACCTTTCATCACAGTCCTCCCCCTATATGCCTGCAGAGGATGGGAACTACCTGCACAATATTGAAATTGCATTGCAGTAGGAACAAAGATTTCAGCGAGGTGGGAATCGCAAGGGAATCGATTAAAATATCTCGAAAATTGATTTGGTTTTGGTTCATTAAATACAAAGCTTTAGTTCAGTTTTAATGTTTGCTGGCTGTGTCTCATTAAGTCCTGTTTTTGTCTTAGATGTGATCTGTACCTTGGCTTGGGGGAGTCACGTGCTTGTCACCATGGATATACAGTATGTTTAATGCCACACTTAAGAGGATTTCAGGTAAAGCAATAACACAGAATTAACAAAATATAGTCATGGTTTAGAATATGATGTTTAGTATTGTTTAGCTTTGTGTTATTAATGGTTTAGTCTAGTTTAAATCTTCGGTAAGTTTTTTTTTTGAATCTCACCTGATTCAGTCTTATAATAATGAATGTAAATACTGTTGCAAAAACTTAAAAAAAAATGTTTCTGTAGCACCTGCAGCACTTTTTGCTATGTGTGTGGACAAGAGCTCCATCAGAGTGCTGAGCATGCTGAGTGAGGGTGCAATCATCTCCCAGTGTCCAGAAATAATGATGCCCTATTAGGTCCGCTGAGCGTGAAACATCTCATTGAAACGCCAAATAACAACGGGTCAGGATGATTCTGTCTACAACACCTCTCTGACAATTCCCCTGCTGAGAGAGAATGGAAACAGGAGTGAAGGAAGAAGTATAACAAATCAAATAATTACACCAACTGAGATTTCTATTTGGAAGACGGATACAATTGTATTTGTCGTCCCATATAACCTACACACTGAACTGATCAATTTGGTCACTTTAATTGCACTTCTTCTCTGCAACAGAACAGCATATATAATGACATTTAATCAATTGATATAATGACTTGAAAATTCCCACTGGTAGCAAGAAAGAAAAAAACATGTCAATAATTGATGTTATACCAATTATAGCAGAGTATGCAAAATAAAAGGAGAGAGAAACCAACAATCCCATCGCAAATAAGAAGCCACAGCAGATATTTGTAAAAAGTCCATACAAAAGGAATTAGACCTACGGTAATCTAATGATATTCCTCCAGCTAGGTACTCCAAACCAAACCTGATTATCTGGATATGTGTACCTGGGCTCTTGATAGGTTTCTCCTAGCGGCATTAACGGATGGGGCAAATACAAATGCAAACAAATTTTAACAATAGAGGATACATGGCTAGATTTTTCTGGTTAACTTTTTATCGGTATGAATGGCATAGAAAGGCAGGTTTTTAACAGGTACTTAATATTGTGCCTTTTTGCTCCATTATCATTAAAGCAAACATGGCCTAAGTGATGGCATGTTAATCATTTATGTGTGTCCAGTCCACAGAGTATTATGTACAGTACACTATGCACCGTGCAGCTACACTCAACATTTAGCAGAGCATTGTTGCATCCTTTAACGAGTATGCCATAAACTGCAGCATAATGCTCAGTGTAGCAGAGTCTCTAAAGCAGATCATTTAGCACACTAATAAAGGCAGCTCAAAAGATGTTTGAAATTAGATTTTAAAATTGTACATTATCTGATTTTATTATCTGTCTCTTCCCACTGAAGTCAATTTACTTAAAGATCCACTATGGAACTTTCTCTGGGGTCCGCCACCTTCTTGTCTCCATTCTTGTCACAGAATGGTATTAATATTAAACTTATCTATCGTGCAATATATTGAATTACATGTATTTTATTGGTTTGAAATGTATATGAACAATGCAATCTAATTGTGTGCCAGTTGGGTCGCCTCACAGATCTGATCTGTAAAAAAATTGGCTTGGTGCCGTCATCTGCTTGTCTCCATGGAAATAGAAATGTTTAATGCTACACTGTTGAACATTTGGTCTAGAATTAACACAACAGGAAGGCAAACATGGTGTGCTAAATAATTATACTACTGGGATATTATAACTGAGGCAAAAAAATCAAATGGGTAAATGAAATGATGATGGGTAAATGAAACTGCAGTGTATTGTGGTTGGGTGCAAAGCTCTGTCTCAGTTATGAAAGAGTTGGCTCCAGAGGCCTAGGCAGCACTGTGTGGGGACAATGTACTGCTATAAAACCTCAACGCCATCACTCATCTCCTCCATTTGTCTGTGCTGCGTTTGTATTGATCGACCCATTTCTCGCTCCCTCTCCTAATGTCTGTAAGACTTTTTGTGTGTATAAACCCGGACAATGCACATAATCCAGTAACAACCAGATTCAGACAGACAACTAGGCTACCAAGAGAGGAAGAACATTTGGAACCTCTTTGATGTGTGATCAAAGGTAATTTAAACCGACAGTCTGCTTGGTTTGCCTGGTATTCCTGAACAATTAAGTACCAAGTAAGAGTAAAACTATCAAATATAAGTACCCTACATTATACAGGCCTAACAAAATACACAGGTTTATTCAGTTTCAATTAGATTGATGTTTGGTACTGAAAGTCAGAGGTCAAAGATCTGGGTCAGCTCTTGACAGAATTTTCTATAGCCTATACTGCTACAATGATATACTGTTATTCACAACTGTGACTGTAGTAGTTTACTGTAATAGGCACTGCATTATTGTTATGCTTACCTTGAGCAATAGCCATTGACTCGAACTTGTGTAGTTCTCTGAGCAGGCAGCTCCGCTCAGACGGATGCAGACTATAAATAAACTCCTTGGCTCCTTGGGGAGAGTTGAGGGACTCCACGGGTTCCTTCAGAGGGTGCGTGCCCAGGTTACACCGCTGTACGAGCATGGACACGGGCGGATCGACGTGGCCCAAGGGAGCTCCACCGCCTGTGTGGTGGCTATTGAGTCCGACCCTGGTGGTGAGTCCGGTTCGGGCTCTGAGAGAGAGTACGGGCCGCACGGCTCTTCGCAGGCTGGGAAGCATCTCTGGATGAGAATCGAGGATGGAAACTGGAGAACAGAGGTGAGAGTGACCCGAGTCAACACTAGCTAAACACATGGCATGCTGCTCAACACTGATGTAAAATGCTAGTCCTAAACATTTACAATAGTAGGTAATTACGAAAGGATCAAACTGGCAATCATGACTCCCGATGACTTTGGATTATTTTACGTAATTAGAATGACAGCGTAATCAATGACAGCAGATAGGAAACTAACCTTTACTAGTGCTATCGGACGCACCTCAGTCGATGGTCCGCTGTCCCGTCCAGCAGCCTCCACTACAAACCTTCACAAGAACAAAGCCGCCGCTCCCGAGCATATGTCTCCACTTTACCCTGGTTTATTTCTCTGCGAGCTGCACTGGCAAACTCCCAAATACCGCTAGTGTGTCAACCCAAATCACATATTTGCGCCCGTTGTCCCGGCTGGTGTAACCTCTGGCTGACAGGAGGCTGCTGTGAGGCGGATGGGAGGGAATCGAAAGCGCTGGAAATGTTCCCCAATCACAGAGCAGCTTTACGCTGTGCGTAACGCTGACGGCACAGAGACGCACTCACGGCTCCGAGCGTAAAGACTGAGCATCAGCCTCTATTATCCCGTAGTAATGTATATGTACAGGACTATAACACACGCACATGCAATGACATTTGACTTTTATAGCTGACGTTTCACTTAGAAAATGCACCCAGTTAAATCTTAGGTACTAGGCTAGATGTAGTGTATTACAGAACTACAAAATCTCACGTTTCTATTGCAGAGTCCTATATAACAGGCTTAAAAAAGACGTATGTGATAATGAATAAGCCTTCTGGGCGTGTTCATACCACTGTCTCACCAGGTTAGTATGTGCAGAGCATTGGAGCTATGTAGCTGGTCACACCCCAGGAAAATATGAATGCATGGAGTCAGTGTTTCTGTAAGAAACAATGTATTTCTTATACAAATTCAAATGAATAAAAAAAATAAGGCATAGTGTAGATGCAAAACTGTACTAATAGTATCTCCGGATATTTTATTCGGGAAATATTTTAATAATAAGAGTAGTATCAAAGCCTGACGAACAGCGACACCTGCTGGTTTCTTCACGGTATTTAAAAAGAAATGTCCAGTAGCTGCCATGGTATAGGCTTTACACAGAACAATGTTGCATGATTTAAAAAATATAAAGTTATACAAAAAAAAACAAGTGTTTAATGTTTTATTGTATTGCTAAGGCTGTCATTACACAACAAAAATAACATTTCATACTTTTTTTAAACTGAACAGGGACCAACCAGAGAGATCAACTCTCCTCTGAAGACACAGAGACTAAACTAGAGAATACAGATTCAATCTTCCTCACACCCGCACAAACTATAATCTTATTCTTATTTTATTTATATTATAGGTGACGTTTATATGCTGACATTTGGCAACTTTTATATAATATATAATTTTACTAGAAGTGTAAATATACTGCTGATACAACTTTGTTATCTTTAAAGGTCTAACAGAGAAACCACATCCTTTGTTAGAGTCATGTCCACTACAATAACTTCTGAGGCATGTAATAAACTTAGTTATATATACTTTAAATGCTGTTTTCAAAAGGTTCTTGATTTAATTTAAATGCACTGTTTCTATCTGTAGACAACTATAGCAAATGTATGTGCACCATAGATGTGTGATGCTAAAAAAAATTTGAAATTAAGGACATCAGCTGAATTGTTGCAGAATAATCAGTGTTCTGATCACATCAAACGTTCATGCCTGGTAAAAAGAAACATTTCTTGTGAATGAAAAAAGTATAAAAATAAAGAGTGATGAAGGCAGATCAATGCAAGACAATCAAGAAAATAAATTAAAATGTGTTACTGAACATGTTTTTCGCTGAACAATATTTACATTTTCATAAACCTCGACATGGCCACATGCTCACAGTGCTTGAACTGAAATGCAATTCAACTTCAGACTAACTGAAATACTAACTGCTTTTGGCCCTGTCATTTTCACAATGATGGCCACTGTCTCACAAGTTAGAATTATTAACTCCCATGAATATGAACAGAAATATGATTGCCTTGCTTTTGAGTACCTGTTTGGCACCCAGCCTTTTGAATAAACAAGAGTGGTTTCTGAGACAAATAAAAAAATAACTCAAAATCCATGCTACATACATTGATGAAAATGTATAACTAACAAAATGCAGCTTATTTCTTAAAAAAATCTAAAACATCCTTTAGCTGTGTTCTTGACATAAGCTATGTTACATGTCTTTATCTTTTAGCATGTATAATGCAAACTGAATTTAGTGTTTAGGGACAACAATTATTAGAGGAGAGCTGTGATCATAAACTATGGCTGTGATGTTTGTAGCATTTAGAGAAATAGATGAAATGGCACTCAAGGGACGGTAGGAGCATCCATATACTCCAGACACAGAAACAAAACTAAATTATTTACAAATTAAAACAAAAAGATAACATAAAGTAAAGGTGTCAGTGGTGTGAAACATTGGCACACTGTCTCATTTTTGTTGTAATTGCGATGAGTAGTAGCACGTGATAACTGCTGCTCTTAACATTCACGTTTGTGACAGACTTCAGCTGCTGCCGTTGAACAAGGCTTTTTCACAGCCATCCCAAAAACATCAGTTCAAATTTGGTGAGCTGTCAGAAGTCCAAGGCACCTCCCACATCCAGTACTCCTGCGAGTCTGCCACACAATATCACCTTTGTTCTGGCCCCAGTTACTGCCCTCAGTGACAGCAGGAGGACAATAAGTTCATTTGTCTCAGTGACAGTGCACTCTGTCACCAATGAGAGTTAACATGTTTGTGTACATAAACTCCATACTTTAAAGTGAAAAGAAAACATCACGTTGCACATGTGGCTATGGAAAAATCATAAATAAAAAGTAAACTGTGTTATACTGCTACAGTGGTCAATGGTTTTAGTGTCCTTTTATTGCTCACAGTTTTCTATAAACACGTGTTACTGTGTTTGCGACTATTTGAAATGCTTGATTTTTTTGTGTCTGTTCATGTGAAAAAGTAATTGTTCTTCATTTTAATGGGCAAATAAACATTTGAATATTTACAGAAGTCAACTCAGTCTTCACATCTAAATACATTATCTGAAGCTTTTAACCTAACCCCGCACAACAATGAGTGGAAAAAGAGTTCCCTTCTCAAACAGTTCACTTTCTGATTGATGAATTTAGGCAATGCGAGGGGCTGAGCGGTCATTAGTCAGAGTCCTCTTGAGTTTGACTCCTTTACGAATAGCAACAAGCATGTTGCCCTCATTTTCTCCTGACTCTTCCATCAGCTCTCCAGCTCCCTCCTCTGCACCCGCATGGTTCTGCATATGATGATGGTTGGCCAAAGCTGTGACAGGGGGGTTGGTGGAAGCCTGGCCGCTCCAGGACACCATCTGAAGAGGGTTGGTCTCCTCTAAAGGATACATTGGATAATCAGGGCTCTCATCTCCTCGCCCTCTCTCCATTTCTTCTGTGCCTCTGTTGCCATTGACAGCGGCTGTTATGTCCGGGACTGTGGGGATTTTCACTGGGACGACCGGCGTGCGGATGGGAATAGGGCCAGTGCCTGTGACAGAGGCAGAGCGCCGGGCCGAGGGTTTTGAAGATGGAGTTCGGCGGATTGTGGCTACCCCTGGGGTAACGATAACAGGACCATGGCCTGAAGAGTATGTGCCATTATGGGTACTGGATCCAGAGTAATAGCCCTGATTACAAGAAGCTGTAAAAACAAACAGTCAAAAAATGATTATTGTATAAAGCATTATAGTGAGACTGTGTGTTCTGCTATTTGGTTTAGATAGTGATACTGACCTGTGGGTGTGGATGGATAAGTCCCATTGGACTGATAATGCCCTGAGTGCATGGGTGTAGGAGGATAGCCTCCATGGCCTGGATAAGGAGCCTGTGTGCTGGGCAGACCAGCTGTCGAGGCAGGCCTCTTCGTCTGGAACATACGTCTGTAGGACTGGCCAATGTCACTGTTGCGCGGGATAGTAGATGATTTGTCGTAGTCAGCCTGTTCAGCCTCTTGGTCCCCAGCCATTGAGAAATAGTCATAATCTGAAACTAAACAAAAATGAAAGATATTAATATTGTTTGTTTGTTTATTTTAATAATAAAATATTACAGAAGTTGGAGCAGATTGTAAGAGTCAAACCTTGTGAAGGTATTGTATCTTCAGAGCAGCAAGGTGTGTTAGTCTGGGTACTGTAGCCACTGGAGCACTGGATTGAGTCTCGACTGGACCTCTGAGTGTCCAAATCTAGACCTCGTGATAAAGCCATAGCAAGTTCCTCATGTGGCAAGAAATCTCCAGACTAAAAGTAGAGAAAACAATGAACATCGTTAGAAACACCAAGAGGCCATCTGATCTTCAATCTAAGTAAAGTTTAATATAAGCTGCAATGACCTGAATCACATAATAACATTGAGCAGGTCTAATTATTATGGATTCAGTAATAGTCTAATTTGATTCACCCACTACCTAATAAACAATTCGATATAAGCCTGCTTTATATTTGCCCTGCTAATTTCAGCCAGGTTTTTTACTACTTGGGACAGGCGTACCTTGAATTGTGAGGCCAGTGTCCTGTTGGCCTCTTCTGCCGAGCTCGAGTGGTGTGGAGGTTGTGGCATCACTGGTGCAGCAGGGGGCGGTGACATGAGGGTGGGTGCAGAGCCATTTTCACTGTGATTCACACTCTGGTTTCCATTAGAGTCTGTTACAGTTGGCAGTTCCTTGTCTTTCTTCCTCCTCAAAGTATTGACCATTGGCTGATCATAGGGCCCTGGTTTTGCCCAGTCCTGCAAAATACAGCAAAATTACTATCAGCAATTTGTTTACAATTCATTTGGCATATTTTGAATTTGTAGGCCAAATAAGATAATCTCACTTTTCTCATGTAGAATGCAGTGCAGTATGATACCGATCTAAAATATGGATGCACTAGTATGGCTGTTCTTAATTCTTAAATTTAAAGGTGTGCCATCAGTATGTAACTTTTCTGGTAGTAGCATCTGCCACTTGCTTGTCTCCATGGAGGTATTATTGTGGTGCCTAGATTCCACAGTAAGACTTATCTATCTTATCTAACTTGATTTTATTCTATTACAGGGGGTTTTATTGTGATAAAATATCTTGGACTTGTGGCATCACCTGCTTGTCTCCATCTTGTCTCCATGGAGAGAGAAAAATTTAATACCACGCTGTGGATCATGTGATGCAAATGAATAAAACCTCCATAGAGACAAGCAGGTGACAGAGCCTTCACCAGAAAAGTAACATAGCATACCTTTGACTATTTTTGGGTAGTTTTTGTCAATTAATAATAATTCTGTGATTTAAATAAAGCTAAACTGAATTGTTTTTTTCGTTTACATTTTCTACAAATTTTGAAAAAATACACATTGATAGAAAAAGACAGCATGAACAAACCTTCCAGCTGGGCACACGGGACGATGGCAGCATAGGGGAGCCCAGAGTACAATAATGAGGGTATTCTGGCAGCAGGGCGGAGGTGGGACGGGACCATGAGCGAGAGGGGGAGGAGGTGGAGGTGGGGGAGGACGGAGGGTAAAACGGAAAGGCAGTGCCCGACCCGTTACTGTGTAGGTATGGGGAGCTCGCAGGGCTGCAGTGGTCATACCCATTGGACATCTGGGTGTGTGAATGGTGAAAAATAAAAAAACAGAAAAATACAACATAATGAATGAAATAAAAAGACAAACACAAATAAATAAAAATGCATTGGAGTAAATTATAACAAACACAGAGCAAAATGTGATGAAATGATGAATGATAAAATAGATTATTTGACTTGTATTACCGACTGGTTTGAATATACTGTTTTGGGAGTTGTGGGATTGATTGTGGGAAAAAATTATCAAATACTTAGACTCAGTGTTTTGACATTTTTTTGAGATGTTTTAAAAAGCAGATTAGACAAGGATTTTTGGTTATGTGGTGCAGAACAGGAGTCCATATAGTCAAATACAGACCACAAATGTTAAAATTTAAGACAGACAGTCAAAAACCAGTCACAAATACCAATTAGGCATGTCAAATAGTCTTTATCATACCAGATCCCATTATCAGACTTATCAAAAGTAAGTTAAAGCAGGTAGTTTGGCAGTAGTGTCTTTCACCTGGTCAGTGTGCTGAGTGTCAGTAGCAGCGCTCAGAGTGGAGGGGCAGTCACTGTGAAGGGGTCCAGTCTCTGACACCTCAGAGGAGCTGGAGCTTGGACAGGGCTGCAGCAGAGAGGGGCAAGAGGAGAGGGGAAGAGCCCACGTCAGCAGGTAGACAGAGGAGCGGTTTGTTAGTATGCAGGGAACACTTTCCACAGGACCACAGCCAAGTGAGTATCCAACATATAGCATATTATATAGGAGGGGGACAAGGAGTAGTACCAGAACTGATTATGAAGGCATCAGCAGCCAAGTTGTAGTGGTAGTGTTTAAGAAAAGCACAGCCGTTGCTACTCATCTCTTTGGCATGTGTGGGAGGAATCATACCAGCCAAAGAAGTCAAGCTAAATGAGAGGCCTGTCATATTGCATTTAAAGAGTGCTGTTAGCAAATGGATGCATGATTATGTTGTTTATATAATGATACTTAATCCATGCCTAGTGGGAAATTGTCTTCTTGCTTGACACATACAGTAGTTAATGGGTGCACATTAGGGAAAGGCAATAGGCTGGTGTTAGCGGAAATAGGGTGGAAAAAGGAGCTTTGAAGTAAGCTCAATGAAGCCACATTGATGTTTTCATCAGAAACAAATGACTGTAGTAACAAGCAGGAGGCCATGTGAAGGCTGGGGGCTGCATGTGTCCCAGAGTGCGCCTTGCCAAACCACCTTCGCTACATCATAAAGTTGCAGGCTAATGATACCAGTGTGTTCTGGACAGGGGAGCGCTGATTCCTGGCAACAGTAAACTCCACAGCGTCTCAACCGCAAACCTCACTCTGTCTTACATACCATCTCTCTGAAAGTGATCTCAAAGTCTTTTCAATTGACCCGCTATTGTTGACATAGGGGACCTGATGACACCACTGACCGTACAAAACATAACTGATGACAAAGTAAGTTTTATTTGCCTTTGATGCATGTAATGAGTCTGTGTCTAAGTATTTTCAAGACTGTGCATGTTTACCCAGGCAGCCGTCTGTCACAGCGGTCTGCTCCTTAATAGTAGGATGAGGTTCTTCTGACTTTCCCCTGGGCTAAAAGAGAAGCAGACTAATTTCCTGTGTGTTTATACTATAATAATACTAGCCCAATGATGACACGGACTTCCCGCTGCCAGAGAGCGGCTGAGGAGATGTGTGAGAAAAGATATGCAAGCTCTCATTTGGGGTTTCTCTGTCTGACTACACTGTACTGTAAATCAAACCAAATGTGGTTTAGATGCTTTTCTGTGGTTAAAATTACAGCAGAGAGTAAGTGTGTGCAGGGTTTTTCTTACCTTTGTTTCAGCTGGCATGGGCGACGAAGACTTGGAAGATGTGTACTGGTCATGTGAGGAGGAGATGAAGCCCGAGTCGTGGGAGGAGATACTGGAGAGGCGCGCTGGGGTCGGCTGGGGGAGCGTGGAGCTGCGGTACCGGTTGCGCGGGTGATGGAGGTGGAAAAGGTGATGTGAGGAGGAGGAGGAAGAAGAGGAGGAAGGAGAGTGAGAGTGGGACCCACTAGAGCCCCTGGAGTCACTACTGTTAACGCTGTTCAGACTACTGTCAATGGGCACAGGAAAGGCAAGAGAACAGAAGACCAAGTGCACCCAGGAATTAAAGAAAGAAAGTTCAGCAAAACAGGGATATTAGAACAAAGATGGAGGATTGGGGGAAGTGTGGAGGAGACAGGGAGGAAACCATTAACACAGCAAACCAAGATGCAGCAGGCTGTGACTTAATCAAATATAGTCACAACAAACACACCACTAAATTAAAATAATAGTAATTACAGACTTTAATAATTCTACTTTGATGAGTAATTTGGACTTTTGATTAAACAGCCACATCAATGCTGAATGAACACCATAAAAAGCCCAATAATCTGCAGACATGAAATCAAAAACTGACGCACCAAAGCATGTTAAATGAGTCTGTAATTAAAGATCCAGCATATTTAGGCCATAAAGGTTCCCAGAAATTAAAGGGCCACAACATAATTATCCAAAAGCTGTTAGGAAATTATCTTAAACCCACCACATTTCCTGCCAATAAAGTACAAGGACACCAACAGCAAAGAGCCAAGGCAAATAGTAATGGTGCTTACTGACAATTTATTAACAGAATTTTGGATTCAGTTGGAGCATAGTATTGAAGTGCTGTTTTATATCTCACCACTAGGGGGTAGTGAACAGCAGGGAAGTAACCTGACCCGTTCAGTATTTTTATTATCAACTGAGGTTTTTATGAACAAAATATACATTGTACTCTATTTTGTCACTCTGCTTTTGGTGTAATGAAATGGAAGTTGACTAACTAGAGGTTCCAGTGTTCTCTTATATGATGCCATTAGTAATGTGGCACAGTAGAGAGGCCTACCTGCACATGCTGGACTTTCTGGACACAGTGGAACTTGGAGAAGAAGGCGGAGTCTGATAGGACCAATTAAAATCTGAGCCCTTCAAATCAAGAATCACCTAAGAGAGAAGACAATATTTCAATTCATATGTCTGCGAATGAAAAGGCAAATAAACAGTTTGATTTCCAGTCTGTTGTTTATTTTCACCTGCTCACTAGCGGCTGGGAGTTTGTGTGGGTCAGAGGTCAAGGCTTTGAGGTCATCAGAAATGGCCTGAAGGTGCGTGACCTCCCCCAGCATAGAAATCTCCTCATCCTAAAAACAACACAGGAACGCATTTAACATTTATGGCAATAATTTGTCATTCAGCATGTTGTAACAGAAACCCAGTCATTATTTGTGATTGATGACACATTTCAATGAAGGGATACTAGAATGATGTTGTTTTTGGTTCTGATAAATATTGATTTTCATACTTTCATAGTTCTGTACTCACCACTACCGGCTGGAGCAGGGCTACAAAAAAGCAGAACCTCTGTCTCTCTTCAATCAGAGCCTTTCTCAGAGCCTGCTTCTCCGTCTCCTCTAGCAGAATGTATTTATCACTGACATCCTGCATCGCACTGTCCAACTGGGGTTGAAAATCTCCTCGACCTTCACAACAACACAAGACAGAGGCATTGCTGTTAGTTTCCTGACAGATAATTAGTCTTCTATTTTATTTATATTAAAATATCTATCTAGTATGAGGGTGCATTTGTAATAATTTTAAGACTAAAGACTGATAAGACTAAAGAATGGCATGCATATCAAAAAATGAAATGATCTAATCTAAAGTTTAATCACATTTGTTAATAAGTCCTTCAAGTTATTCCAGCTATTTAAATTGTACAATCTGAAGGTAAGGTTAGTGTGCACTTTAGTTAGAGCTACTTTATTTGAACACTTTAAAAAATGTAAAAAGGTACAACATATAGTCATACTTGTCAGACATTCAAAACATGCACGTTTAACTTTATAGTTCCCATACAGAAATGTGTCCTCTGCATTTGACCCATCTTTGAATGACACTGGCGCAAACTATACACTTTTTGTCTTGTTCACAAATTCTTCTAAATGGGTAACATATACAGCTGTTTTTTAGAGGACTAAGAGCATTATTAGAAGTTAAATAGCCAAATTTCTTTACTTTCAAAACCTCTACTCTAGTATTAGGGATAAAACCAATCGTGCTCCGCTGTTGACTGTATCTTGAGGGCTCTTTGATAAACACTGTAGTTCGCAAGTGTTCTTAGGCCGGGTTAAGAGGAAAGATTGTGTGTATAGTCAAGTATGTGAAGAGGGTGACCCTGAAGCTGAATCAAAGCCTCTTGATGGAGGCAGGAAGGCTGGCGACTGCCCAATGCATTGTACAGCATGCATTATCTACTCACTGTAGGCTTAAGTCATATACAGACAAGACTTACTTTGATAAACTAAAGCCACAAGACAAACTGTGGTCCCTCTGGGTCTGGGGCAAACGATCAACTATTGTCTTAGTATGACATTTGACACGCATGTTGTGCAAATCAATAGTTAAAACATAGATAAGTTTACATAGGAAATGGAAAAAGAGCCCCCTTATCAAGAGCATGAATGATGAACCACTGTTTCTTTGTCAGCCGCCCAGACCACAGTGCACTGTAAATGACCGGGAAGCATTATTTAAATCTGCAAATTGCAAATGGAAAAGAGAATGAGTGGAAATCATGCTGCCACAATGCATCCGCCTAAATCAAATTAGTTGACAGTGATTACATCTGACTCATATTATAAAAACAGATTTGGTAAAATTATATGGCATACGCTTTACTTTGATGGATAAGCCAAATTTGGTCTTCCAGCATTCTTCGTTTTTGTATCATGCTTAAGACAGAGATTACATTTTTCAAATTATACATATTTAATGAAATTCCACTCAAAAGGAAATTACTTAATTAAAGGATTAACTGAAAGGAATACTGGATTTAGGATGGAGTTATTAAGAACATTTTGTGATTGTTGACAAAACAAATTTAATTTCCATAAGAAGTACATTGGGACTTTTTGACATCCGTGGAATGTGAGTCCTGTCTAAGTTTATGGAAGTTCTCTCTTTATGACAATATGGAGGCTATAATTGAGTATAACAACTGCAGAGGTTTCCAGACTGGAAAGTTAAAACTGGCACATATATTTTCAGTCTTTTGCATCATGAAACCTTAAATTTAGTGTATTACATCTACTGCAGAATCTATAGTCATTTTTTATTTGGTCCAATGTTTTTCAGAATCGTGTTTGAATTTCAAAACAACATGACTTGAATTATTTGCTAAAATATGATTGAAAAAAACAAACAATAAAAAAATAAATGTTTGAAATTTAATCTTTCCTACTATAGAATTTTAAATCATTTTGATATTTGTAGTGTTGTTGTTTTTTAAACTTGAAAGATTGAAGTGTCGGACCTCAGAGAGTGTTATGTTAGCTCAGTCTGCACACGTGTACTCGCACACACAAATGAGATTAGCTTCTGCAGTTTTCACATGACAAATGATTTCATTAGGTAGCAGTCACAGGCGGGTCTAAGGCTCAGGGCCAGGTCGAAAACACCCTCACAAGACACGTAAGAAACACTTGTGGTAAGAAGACAACTAAGAGTGTTATGTTTCTTAAGCTGTAACACTACAGTAAGAAATCCACTTACACAGTATAGTTTTATATAATCTGAATATTGCAGTGTACATGCTAGTAGGACAGAAAGATAATCTAATTGCAATTTCAGTGGTCACAATTAGCAATGGCAAAGGGTGCAATTACTTAGACAGAGCAATGTCTCTTTAGAGAACAAAATCCTCTATTCAGTCTTTTAATGTAGAAAAACAAACACAGTAGTGAAGACCTCTACAGGCATGTTCTTCCCCATGTAATTCTTATATTAGGTTTCAAAATATGAATGCCCCAGGCCTTACTTAAAGTGTGCACAGTGCAGAACAATGTTTCAATTTGCATAAATTGCTAAATGTTTATATTTTTCAAATTTCTTGAACAACTGCTAAAAGTAAAATAAGCATTGTGTTCTCTGTGATAAATGAGAAGAAGGATATTGAAAAGAAACTTTAGAAAGAATTTTTAGACTCGAGATGCAAAAATATTTTTGTTCCCTTTGACTTACTAATACTATTAATCACGTTTGACAGCACATTGTTAAGCGTTAATCCTGTAGTTAAACTGTACAGGCGGTATGAAGTACTTAACAACAGTCACCAGTAAAAACAAAGACAGACACAGTGAACAACAGATTCATAAAAATATGAATCTTGAACTTGAAGAAAATGTAAACTAAATTAAAAACTACAAACTACGACATCTGTGAGAGAAACTAGACATGCTACTAATAACTACATTACACTAGAATAGAAAACATTTTAGTGACTTGAGTGTGGGCATTAACCTTACCCCAACTGTCAGCTGAAGATGGGAACCACATGGGGACAAGGAGAGGGAAAAACACGTCTGTCACTTTGATGGACACAAAATATCTTAACTTTTCAAACCTCTCACCAAACCCCAGGCTTTTTTTCAAGTTGCTTTGTTTCCAGTGTGCACAGTATTTTTACAGGTAGATGAATATGTTTATAGAGGACGGTTGTAGAGGGGTGAGCCAGGGCCTTCCGCAGTGTGTTTTCCATGTAAGGTAATGTTTAAACACAGGGCTAATCGCTAAGGCCTAGCTGCTGTCAAATAAATATACCCATATATCCAGTCTGCTTTCCCTGCACTCTGCCACAAACCTGCTTCACTGTTTAACACAACAACAGGCTATGTGTTTACCTTTCTTTGCTTTCTTCTGAAGTTTGAGTGTGTCTGAAGACTTCTTCTTTATTTCCTGGCGGGCTCTCTTATACTCTGATTAAGAAATATAATAACATTGTGTTTACACCTACATGTTAGATTTGACAAAAGGCAGCCAGTGTTTTATTTTACCTTTAGCATGGTCCTTATCCAAAGAGTTGACTCCTCTTTTCCACTCCTCCATCTGTTCTTGCAAAGGACCGACCAGACCCTCCATGAACACCCTGACAGCCAAGACATCATTCACAATTAGAGACATGAAGTAGCTCCTTATACATATAGTGGAGATTTACAGATCATTAATGTAGTGCTGCCATATGGGACAAATGCCAATAATAAACACTAACAGAATAATAACAGAAAAAGTATACTTTAAAGGTGCAGTTGCTTTTTGAATGAGAGACCCACTACCTGTTTGTCTCCATGGAGATGTTATTGCTTCCACAGCATGACATTTATCTTATTTATCTAAGCTTTTATTTCACAGTGGGTGATTTTATTGCCCCCAAAAAGCCTTATTAATACCCAAACATGCATCCTTACTGAGAATGGGCTCTCATCTCCACAAAGCAGACCTGCAACTTGGCCTAATGGCATCACTTGCTTGTCTCGATATAGATAGATATGTTTGGAAACAATAATATGGTGTACCCTAAACCAGAAAAGCTACATAGTGCACCTTTAAATATGACCTTTTCTATCCAGTTATCTAACACAAATTTGGTTTCCTTGCAACATGTTAAGGTTTTTTGCTGGCTGTTCTAAACATGAAAGATAAAACAAGTAAAAATAATATCAGTTTGAATGTTGACTTGTTATTTTAGAGGTTTTATTTATATCTGTCCTGAGTTTTTTTGTGACACTGATTTTGTGTCAACAGTGCTCCATTTGCTATATTCAATTTCAGTTCATTCTCAGTAATATATCTGTCAAATATAGGTGATAATAAGAGTGTTGTTGTCTTTCTATCTGACCAGAGTGTGCTCATGTTTGTCAATTATTAACAGCAAGAGTGAGTGTCTAACAGCACGTCGCAGGGGAAGTCTTGCAGTCCTGTCTGTCAATCATTACCCCGTATGTCCCTCTTCCAGGTTTGTGAGTCTGTTTAAAAGGCTGGGAGCTGGGCAGCTGCAGGATTAGCGTATGAAACTAAAATTAGGCTTCTCCATCTTGCAGACATTTCTTAGACAAGTGTGCGTCTGTGCCAGTGGGTGGGTGCTGCTGACCATAGCCCCCCTGTGTCCAGAGCCTGCTATGGAGATCCAAGTGGAATCTCTCCTGAAATGCCACTTGAAATTAAGAGAGCCCCTTGTCTGCCCAATGTGTGTGGGACGGCTCTGACACATTACAGATGCTCGCAGCTCCAGACAAATCGTCTCTTTTTATGAATTCCAATACAAGGGGCGTTTTAATGGAGCAGGCGCTTGCAAAATATCCACAAACCACAAGTCCCTATACGATTTATTGGCCTGTTCTCTAAGGGGTGGGGTCATACTACTATAGATTATAAACATGGACAAAAGCAGGAAATAATGACCACAATCTCCCTAAATGTTTATCTAAAAGGGAGATTTAACAAGTTCAAAAAAGCCCACAACATATGGGAAGAATTATATAACATAAAGCAACATTTTTCTTACATTGAGAAATGCTTGAGTTTGGCCTCTATACTGCGATGCCTCATACACATCCTGGTGAGGGCAGACCCGATGTCTCGAGTTCCACCTAAAAAAAGAACAAAAAGATAAGAACAAATATTAATCAACATGGAATTACACAGAAGTATATTTTTTTCTTGTAAAAATAGCTCCAAGTGACCTCCAAACCTGTGTGTATAAACGAAATTGGGCTGTTACAGCAGAACAATAATTCAACAATAACTTAAACTGCAACTAAAATATTTTTTATCAGCTATCAACAGCTGTCTAAGTTAGTCGCTGTTATTTATCAGGAAAAAGATCTAGATGACAGATGCTGGGGCTTGAAGCTGGTGTGTATTTCTTGGAGTGAAGCTAGCTAACTGTCCACTAAATAACCAGGTAGGCGAGCTAACAGGGACATGGCACGTGATTGACGCGACTATTGTCTGGCTGCTCAGTGTGATTTGCTGCTTTCTCTGGATCCCCCGGTACAGCTGTGAGTGTGGTGAGTGCCTGATAGAGTTCTCAAAAGATCAATAGACACATTCGGTACAAATACTAGTGTTAGTACTAGTACTAGTATTAGATATTCTGATACTGAGCAAAGCTTCCTTGAATATTTAAAAAATGGCCTCAATCTTTATCAGAACAAGTACAAGTATATTACCAAATGGTAGTATGAAACAAACTACTAAAATACTAAATTGTATGAGTGTATTATCATTGTGGTCTTGAAATCGGTATCAAGTATCAATTATTTTTCTTTGTAAAAATGCTAATTGAGTTGTAAATTCAGGAGAAGCAAGTTCAAATCAGATTTTTTTGTCTGAATTTGACAGGACAGAAATGGGGTGAAGAGTGGGGAGAGACTGCAAGCCCAGACAGAAATCAAAAACACAGTGAAGCCAGCATAGAGCCTAACACATGCCCTGCAACCAGTCCCCATGACAGGACACGAATCAATGAATTTTATATAGAGTCAGGCTGTAGTGATCCTCCCCAACAGGGCCCTCCATTCTGCTGTTGGCACAGACTCTGCTTCATGCGGGGACTTGCACACAGAGCTGTCAGTCACTCCCAAAGCCACACACTTAGGTCGCACATACATCTATCTGTCACTGAGCCCATCAAAAGTGACCCCCAGTTAATGAACAACCCTTTAAACTGGGCGCACTATACTTAGTACTGATAATATTACACAATGTAGAACAATGTAATGGACTGAACAGTAAATGAGTGAATGTAAATACTTCATTGTGTACTGACAGCATTACTGTGAGTCCCTCTGTGCCCATAAAACCCAGAACTTTTAACCATGTGTCTATAGTACTATGAGTGCTTGTTTTCGCAATGGGTGTGACTACTAGTTAGCCAAAAGGCCTTTTTGTTAACTCCATAATGCTCTTTCATTCATGCATCAGCTTGTTTAGTCATCCTATATCCAGCTATTTTTATCAGTTCTCAATTGCTTGGCTGTTTTTTGAAGGTCAGGTATGAACTATACAGCGGTGCCGCAGGAAGGCCACAGGGGCCACAAGAAAATTAAAAACTTAAAGGAAGACCCATTTCTAGCATGGATACAAGTTTCAACCCCAGCTAGTCCTGTCAGGAGTAGAGTTGGGTTTCAACACATCATTGAGTGGGACGCGCCACACCCACTTCCACTTCTGGATTTGATATGAGGCGAATGGCACAAGAAGAGAATCTGCTGCAAGCTATATCCACAGGTGGAGGCAAAAAGAGAGTGTGAGGTTACAGTCAAGAAGTTCAGGAAAATACAGCCGACTTAATTTCCATGGCATTAAACCTTCACTAAATCACAGCTCTCCTTTGAAATAAACAATTGGTAAACTTTTTTTTTTGTCTTATCACGATTAAGGTATACTGTCTGAAAATTCCTCTAAGAGTTCACGCTTCACTGTTAAATTCACGTGGAAGTGACTCTGAGCGTAACAGAGGCTGACCAATAGGGGGAGACGGTGAGCAAAAGTAAAAAAGGCAATCGTCTTAGAGCATAGATCTGCAAAACACAGAAAAAACACTGAAATATGACAATAATTTTGCCTGGTTGTCCAGTTACTGCAAAAAAGTAATTGAGTGAGACAAACTCATATCGATCAACACTGTGGACAAGTTTCCTTAAGGACAGCAGCCTATTATTTCTGCTCTTGGCTTTTTATTTGGGTTCTTGGCGACATTAAAGATGAAGTGACTGCTAACACAGAAAGCACGCTCAAGTCGGACTAGCACCAAGTGACCTCTGGATGGAAATAGCTTCTTTGGCAGCTCCAGTTGTCTACTGCACATAGACCACTGCTTTATGTCTGTGTAGTGGCATAGCTGGTTGTCAATAGAAATGCTCTTGGTGACAGAGGTTTGCGAGGCTTATAATTATGTCTACAACACTTGAACCAGTGAAGAAGACAAACAACAGTCACGTTCAAAGTCTGTTTACAACTTAGACTGACTCAATGTGTTGCGCATGAGTCAGTGTGTAACGTTATTAGGCATTTTGCAACACCAATGCTTGTCAAACTTTTCACACCCAGCATCACGACCAAGATTCACAAGATTTCCAAACACGCACTGGAAGCCTATGGAGGAGTTAAAAGACTTTCAGTTGCTCTTTTAATCAGGAATAAATAAAAATATCTTCTAAAACCAGAACTAAACCGTGACTAGGATGTCTCTAAATGAAAAACCTGAATAAAAATTGTACACATATCACTGAGAACATCTGACTTACACATCAAAAGCATTCAAGTGACCTAAATAAATGTTTCCTTTCCATATAATGAATTTCTAAAGCTCATCAATGTGTGTCATCTTGTCATTTAAAGTAAACAATGACTTTCACACTTCCCTAACACAATCTTCTGTCCCAAATGGCTGAGTTTTGTGTGGGAACGGTCCATGGGGACATTTGTGACAGAGGGGTGTGAACAGGGGTCAGTGGAGAGGGAGCAGCAGCATGGCCACTCCATGTCAGGTTGCTGAGGCTGTCTCCGTCTTTAACACCATCCCAGACTGCCCCAGGAATGTCACACAGGGCTGACACTCTAAAACCCTTTAAGACATGCACTATCCTTAGTATATCTTGTGCCCCCAATATATACAATGTTGTCACTCTTAACATATTCAGGTTAACACAAATGTCTCTGAAAAATTTCTTTGCCTGAAATGTTCCACAGAATCGCAATAAACTATATATTATTAAAGTAAGTGTGTTTAAACTATCAGACACTATGTCCATAAAGATAGGCCATCCACAGGAAAGTTATAGTGTGCCTTTAATTTTATTTATGTTAGTGCATGATCTGAACTCTTAAAACAGTGTTCTGTTTTGCACTATGGAACTTTTCAAATTGCACTTATTTTTGTTACCCATGACAAACTTCTTCTTGGTGACTTGGTGATTAAGTTATCTTACCTCCCCCTCTCTCTTAATCTTACACTAAATTAGTCTGAAATTATAATGGATACACTCATCCTGACCCAAGCTAGGGTAATAAATCATTATTTGCTGAGTTGACTATAAAAACTATATTAGAATGACTCAATAATGCCCTTTAGAAAAGAACACAAAAAAGCCTCCTTCACTCTCCATTTCAAACCAGGTTTTCTGCTTACTTCACTGTAAAAGGGTAACATTATTCAGTGCAATGGGAAACCATCAATATGGGATCAACACGGTAGGCTGCGGCACACACACAATACTGGAAACATAATATGGCCCAATTCTTTCATTTCATTTACAATGCAACAGCCATATAATCTCTTGACAACTGCTCACACAGTGGTTTCATTTACTTTTTATATCTGAAAATTTGGTTTCATTGCAAGATAGCTTATCACATTTACAGCCTTTACTAGACTATTCTAGTCCTTAACTAATGTTGAGAATCAGAAAGTAATCTAAAGCCGTATTATTTCAGGCACATCTGAGAGACATACTTGACTATAATTCAGAGTCTGATGGGAGTGGAAAGAGGGATTTGCCCAAAGAATTCCTTGTGAATCTGAGAAGCTTGGTAGCTAAACCCGGCTCTGTATGGGCACCAGATGGTAGCCATTAACTGTGGGCCAGTGGTTACAGTGATAAGAGACTAGAGTCCATGCAGCTGGATACACACACACATAAAGTCTCCAGATGGACAGGGCCAAGCTAATTAGAGAGGCAGAGAAAGTAGAAGGCACGGTCCACACCGGACTGGCCCAGCGGAAAGACTTCTCCATGGCCTGCCATCAAAAACACCTGCTGTTTTTGTTTTATCTTATGAATCAAAAATAAAACTATACTATCTTGCAGTGATAGATTGCACAATAAAAAGCAGGACAGTGACAAAGAAAAATAGTGCTGGGCATTTTGGTTCAAAACAAAACTGAAAAAAAACAAACAACAATCTATGTTGTACTCTGAAACACTAGGTCCGAGCTGAGCAGTTTGTGTGCCCAGATGGAGCCACCCACAGCGCACTGTTTCAGGCTGGCATTTCATTCATTGATTTATTTGTCTACCCTTTGAGCCTGCTGGCCTAATATAACTCTTAAGAAGTCAGCACAACACAAAAAGTAGCTAGCAAGGAAAGTGTAGAGAAAATAAGATTAAGATGCATTATTATGATAGATCAAAACATTTAACTAGGCTAGTGCTCTAGCTATTTAGCACTGAATAAGATCTGGAGATAGGTCTGGCGCTGTACTGAGCTCCCCTACTTCTATGAGTTTTCATGAAGTATACAAGTGGAAACTACTAAATCAATCAAGTAGGCCTGTCACGATAACAAAATTTTAAGTGCTATATATTGAAGTAAATATAGAAGATAAACAATAATACTGAACCCGAACCATAAAGCAGAATTATACCCAAAAAACAATTATAAATGTACAATGAACAACTACCAGAATGCTACTCTGAGGTATTTTTTTTCCTCATCATAATCAGAAAAATACCAATGATAAATATGACCCCCTAAAATAATTGTTCAATCTATCATGTACTGAATGATAAATTGATATAGTAATTATCATGACAGGTCTACAGTGAACAAACAACTGAAGAATAAAGGTTGAGTTATCATATTT